TTTTTGATCATAGTAATGTCTTGAAATCAAGCCAGTTTTCCTCTGGAAGAACTAGAAAACTAACCATTGTATAAGGATAACTGCAGCACAACTTTCCTATAACTCATCAATATCTCCTTACCCTGTAAAAATGGTGGCTAAGCCTCATGATTCAATGTTTTATTCACTACCCTATTTAGAGATAGATTTTAGAGTGGACTGACGTCTTCTAGTCCTGGCTCATCAGATACATAATTAATTGCATTATAGTACAAGATAATAAGTAAATTCTAGCATAAATACTTTTTATTTGTTGAATTTCTTCTTCTTCAACCTGTAATGCTTCACTTGAACCAGTTATTCTTAAAACTAATTTTCCTATATGATTTGCTTGCTCGAACATTCTAAATGCATCGATAACTTGTGAGGGTTCATAGATATGTACTGGTTGAAAAGAGTTTATAGGATTTTGTTCTTCATATTGTAAAATTTCTCTCAACAGAGTTTGAATGTATTTTGGGTGATGTTCGATAACAGCAGTTAAATCAGTAACATAAAAAGTACAATCATTTCTCAACTGAAACAAGGATACGTTTGTTTGAGAATAAATATCACGTTTACCAAGTTCAATAAAGTGTCCAATGTTAGATAATAATTTAATAGATTCTTGTAAAAATATACCTGACAATGAATTAAGAATAACATTCACACCATCTGGAAATAATTGACGAATATTATATACGAAAGATAAATCACGACTAAATATGTGTTTTAAACCATATTGTTCGCGTAAGTACTCTCGTTTTTCTTCTGTTCCAGCTGTCACGATGATCTCCGCTCCAATTTTTTGACAATACTGAACAGTAGCAATATCCACACCACTTTTAAAAAAAAGAAGTTTACGGCAACAGAACTAACATAAATGAAAAAAGGCCTACCAGATGCGGAATGAATTAAGATCGTTTGACCTTCTTGTAAATGAGCTCTATATTTGAGAGTATATGTCACTGTTGTATATGCAATTGGTATTGAAGCTTTTTCATTGTAGTTTCAGAAATTAATTTTTTAATAGGAACAACAAGACATTGATCAACAATTACATGCGATTTAAATGCACCATGATGAATAGTCGCACCAATAACAGTGTCATTTACATTCAACGCTTTTACCTGTAATCCTTTTCTTATTATTGTGCCACTAAATTCTGAACCAACTATTTCATTTCGAGCATTTGCATGTTGTTGATGATATTCAATACCAAATTCTTCCATATGGGGAAAAAGTCCTCGACCTTTTAATATATCACGAAAATTCAACCCAACACTATGAACTTTAATTTCAACATCAGTTGGACTAAGTATCTCTTCTTTGTCGGTTGTTGATATCATCTATTTTAAATCGGATATAAATTTTGATTTTGGTATTTGTACTTTATTTTTCATATCGATCGGACGTACTTAGTGTTTAGCCTATATAGCCATATTTTTATTTTGTAAGTGCATATTGTATGAGTCATCGTACACATACATTGAATCGTAGGAAAAATATTACTTTAATCTCAAGAATGGAAAATAATAATTCTGGCATGAAATTAAAAGATGATATTGATTTGAATGGTATTATTAAAAATATTTGTTCGTCTGAAGTCTTTATTGATGGATTAATCAGATGTATCACCAAAAGTGATGTGTTTACAAAAGCGATTTCTGAAGCGATATCAGATTCGATTGCAAAATATGAATCACGTATAGCTCAATTGGAAAAAGCTGTTAAAGAATTACAGTTCAAATGTAACGATGTAGAACAATATGGGCGACGCTGCAATATTCGAATTCAAGGTATTAAAGAAGAGAATGATGAGAATACAAATAAAATAGTCATTGACATTGCACAAGCGTTAGGCGTCAATATAGACGAGAGGGACATATATACGTCACATCGTCTTGGACGCAAAGGTAATTATATAAGACCTATAATAGTCCGATTCGTACGTTTTGAGGTACGTCAACGTGTTATAACAAAACGTGGTAAATTGAAAGTTATTGATCGTTATAAAAATATATTTGTGAATGATGATTTAACTAAACATAACTACGATGTATACAAATATGCCCGTGATAAACTGAACAAACGTTCTGTATCTGTTCGTAATGGAAATGTGTATTAGTCGCGTGAATGTCAAGACGATCACGGAGGTACCAAAGCAAAAATTTCTCATTTAGTGACTTGTGCATCAGTGGATTCGCTATTAGGGTAGAAAATGGCTATTAGACAATCTCATGCTATACTACGTATCGATAAACAGAAAACATTCTTTTCAAACTCGAATGTGTGTGTATATTTATGATGAAATATTTTTGTGCTATTTATATGTATTGACAGAGGAACCTTATTTACTCATAATTATTGCTATGATAGACTTGGAAAATCGTCACCACGAAGCAAGTATTCAATTTTTATATTTTAATGGCTAGCAGAAAGTCTGAGGGCAATGAAGCATCCGAAACGGCATATCTCATCAATATTAGAGGTTTACGGGCAAAAGCTGACAATACTAGCGAAGTTAGCAAGTTTGATTTATTGCAACTATTAATAAATGATAAGCGACCGCTTTTTGTTGCGTTAACTGAAACATGGTTAAGTGATTCTGTTCTCACCTGCGATATCGACATTCTTAAATATACCTGTTACAGGCGCGATCGTCAGGGGTTCGCTGGTGGATGTCTTATATATGTGCGAAATGATCTTTCGATAAGTCGTCTTACTATCTTCGAACATAGTGTAATTGAAGTTATGTTATTTTCCATACGTATTTCTAATATAGGTCAAACACTTGTCTGTCTGTTTTACAGACCAGATTCAACGACAGTCACTTGATGACGGTGTTTTTCCTTCTAGTTTAAAGATCGGATATGTTACGAGCCTTTATAAGTCCAAGGAGCACTAGCTGTCTTGTAATTATAGACCGATAACATTGCTCCCTATAATGTCAAAAGTTTTTGAACGTATTGTGTTTCGCGCGGTTTACACTCACTTGGTAAAAAATAATCTTCTTAATATGATGCAATCTGGCTTTCGCAAATATCACAGTACTGTGACCCAGTTAATCGAATTTGTACATAATATTTATCGGGATCTTGAAAATGGTGATGATTGTATTGCTGTTTACTTAGACTTCAGCAAGGCTTTCGATAAAGTTTGGCATTCTGCGTTGATGTACAAGTTGGAAAAAAAAGGAATTCGAGGTGCCTTGTTACAGTGGTTTCGCAGTTATTTATCTGACAGATCGATCATTACAGTCGTTAACGGTCAGACTTCTAAACCTGCAAAGATAAATCGTGGAGTTCCTCAAGGCTCTGTCTTGGGGCCTCTACTATTTTTGATATACATTGATGATTTGGCTGGCGATCTTGACTGTATAACAAGGTTATTTGCAGATGATACTGTCCTATATTTTAGCGCTAGCGTTCGGATCCAATTGGTTGCTAATGTTAATTGTACTTTATCGAAAGCACTACTGTGGTCTGAAAAATGGCAACTGCCTCTTAACATCTTAAAATGTGAAGGACAGTTATTTACTAGACATTCAGATGTGAATGTAGGTATTTTAATGTTGGGTAA